TCATAATAACAGCACTTAATCAGCTATCATCACTAAGCAGCTGCTAAGTGCTGTATCTGTTAACAACTAATCCTCAGACTAAACCTAGAAGGGATATGAAATCACCCACTCTAAAGCTAAAGACACTGAAGTTCAGAGAGGGAAAGCCTGCCCGTGAGCTTGCAGGAAACAGCAGGAAGCCATGACTGGAAACCTGGCTGCCTGACACTGCGAGCTGTTTTCCCCCTGCCCTCTGCTGCCTCTTCAGGGACACTGCGTTCCAGAACTGTCAATACGAGGACACATATCTGCACTCAGAACTCAGAGCCAACCACTTCACCAGAGAAACGGTTACGCAGAGGCAGGAATACACAGCTGTTCTGGGCACTGCTGACTCCGTACAATGCTGTCATTCAACATGAGGGGTGAAGGATGGGTAAGAAAAAAGAAAAAAGATGCAGGTTATGGCATACTACAGAATCAAACTGTCACCAGTACCTGTGCCGTAATTTCAGAAACGTACTGATTTGTTCTAACAAGCCCAAGTTTGTAAGTCTCATAAAATAGAAAAGTCTTATTTTGTGCACATAAAAATCAAGGCCTATTAGAAAAACAAAACTAGGGCAAGCATTATTGAACCCGATACTTTTTACATTGAAGTGTTAACTCCTATTTGGAGCTAAGGACTTCGTAGTTGCACCACTACTGACAACAGTGACTTTCTGTGTTTCACGTTCAGCCCACGAGAGTGGGTGAGAAGTGGGTACAAGGTGACAACAATTCCACGGAAGGCGGGTTCTTCGTCAGGAGGTGCTGTGAGGGAGACCACGGGCCTGCAGTGTGGCCGGCACAGGCCGGCACAGGCTGGCCGCATGGCTGCTGACGGGGCCGGCGGTGCCGAGAGGGAAGTGGACACAGCGAGCGCCTCGCCCAGGGAGATGAGGGCGCATCGCTAAGGAGGACGGGTCGGGGCGGGACCCACCGCCCTCACAGGACGCCGGTCGCTGACGCGGGCGCAAGCACACGTCTTACACACGGATCCCCATATCGCGGACAGACTGCAACACCTGCGGCCAAGTCCCTCCGCGCCCCGTCAGGAGGGGACAGTGAGCTCCCGGGGCCTCCCCCAGCGCTGACAAGGACCATCTCCGCGCCGGGCGACGGCAGCGGCTACCTGTAACGCAGGCCTCCGAAACATGGCTGCTCTTCTCAGTCTACCTCTGCCGGTCCTGAAGGGAAAGAAGAGCGCGCATTACATCCCACGGCAAGGGCAAGGGCCGCGCCGCCCGGGGCGCCATCCCTGCCC